ATAATTTTAACACTTTACTCTGAATTACCTCAACACTTGAAATTTAACACCAATGAATTTGCTGTGTATGTACATTAAAAAAAGACCATGATCATATGATAATGAAAATGTGTGTAAATGATCAACCCAGCAGGCTGAGCACACTGTAACATGTCTTAAATATTGTTTTAGTCATTCTAAAATGCCTTAACTGTTTCAGTATTATTGTATATTATTAATTACCTCCGAACGTCTGGTGCGTGTCAAGAGTCTCCGTGTCTCATGGCTTCAGACGCCCCCATGTGTTCATTGTGTTTCAGCATTGTCCTCTGACATCGAGGCGCAAGTACATTAATTAGGCTAAATAAAGAATTAATTGACGCAGCTTCTTCTACCACAGTAAATTCTGTTTTTACTGTTGATATTTGGTGCCAGTTTAATCAGGAAGTGACAATTTTTTTCTCTTTGACTCGTTGGATGGAATTTTATTCGCATCTTTTATGCAATATTCCAGTTTTGCACATACATTTATGTAATATATTTGGTGGAAACATAGCTATTGCCTACATTTTAGTCACACACAGAAGAACTGTACAAGAATGGCTTATCCTTTTTTAATAAATAATTAAATTAAATTCACCTTCGACATGCATTGTAACTAGATTAATGGGATTATTATTCTTTCTAAAAATTATTTTTAGTACTGCTTACCTTCTAAATGTTATATTAACCTCTATCACTTGATCAATAAAAAAGGCAGACACACAAGTGCACTGTTAAATCATTTAAAACTAATAAATGTATAAAAGAAAGTTTAGAAAAAATATATAAACGTCACAAATTACATTACTTATTTTATTATACTTAAATATTTAAATACTTAAAAAGTGAAATTAGGCATTAACTTGAGCAGCTGTTTTCCCACGCTAACTGTCTCTTCTTCACTGATGGTTGCTTCTTTTCAAATATATACGCTCATATTTGCTATAACTTTGCATGAGAACATCAAGTTCAGCTGGAGAAAGAAATGCTGATCTCTTTTATAAGATATCGCCATAGTCACTCGTAATGTCTGCGCTCCATTGATAATGCCTTTTTAAAGTCACGGTGTGCGCGCTTAACTCTGAGTTGGTCTACTCGAAGTTGATTGACCCAACTCAGATCAGCTATTCTGAAACCGAAAACTCAGAGTTTTTAATCTCTCGGTAAATCAACTCAGAGTTCAAGTTTAAACTCAGAGTTGTTTGAACCTCCTTACTGAAACAGGCCCCAGGTGGTAATACAGCCACACAGGATGCTCCCCACAGTGCAGGTGTAGAACGAGCGGAGGATGTGAGGGCTTATTCCAAACCTCCTGAGACGCCTGAGGAAGAAGAGGCGTTGTTGTGCCTTCTTTAGCACTGCGTCTGTGTGAGCAGTCCATGTCAATTCCCCAGCAATGTGTACTCCAAGAAACTTGGAAGTGCTGACTCTCTTCACTGGTGTCCCGTTGATGGTGATGGGGGTGTGTTCTCTATTCTCTTTCCTGAAATCCACCACCAGCTCCTTGGTTTTGCTGATGTTGAGTGAGAGGTGGTTTTCCTCACACCACTGCGTCAGAGTGTGTATCTCCTCTCTGTAGGCCCTCTCATTATTATCTGTGATTAGGCCCACCACTGTCATCAGCAAATTTAACGATGACGTTGGAGATGTGTTTGGCTGTACAGTCATGTGTTTACAGGAAGTAGAGGAGTGGACTGAGAACACAGCCCTGTGGATCACCAGTGTTGAGGATCAGTGTGGATGAGGTTATGTTGTTCAGTCTGCTTGAAAGGAAGTCCAGGAACTAGTTGCACAGAGAGCTGTGTAGACCCAGAGCCTGGAGCTTCACCACTAGTTTGGCAGGCACTAAAGTGTTGAATACTGAGCTGTAGTCCCCAAACAGCATTCTCACATATGTGTTTTTATTTTCCAGGTGAGACAGAGCAGTGTGCAAGGTGAAAGCAATTGCTTCATCAGTGTAGCGATTATTTCTGTAAGCAAATTGCAGAGGGTCAGTGTGAGCGGACAGTACAGAGCAGATGTGCTTTTTAATCAGCTTCTCAAAGCACTTGCTGAAGATGGGTGTCAGAGCAACTGGACGTCAGTCATTTAAGCATGTGGTTTTAGATTATTTCAGTATGGGCACAATAGTAGCTGTCTTAAAGCATGTGGGAACCACAGGCCGAGAGAGCGAGAGGTCTGGGACGTAGCTTTCAGGATGCTCCGAAAAGATCTCGTTACGTCCACTACAGAAATAGAGTGTGCTGACGGTTTCGGTATCAGCCGCGGAGCGCACAGTGTGTGGGTGCTGTCCTGGGCTTTAAAGCAAGTGTAGAACGAGTTGAGCTCGTCCGGGAGAGACGCAGAAATGTTCACAGTGAGGGGTTTGTTACTTTTAAAGTCTGTGATGTAATTAAGTCCCTGCCACATACTCCTCCCCTATACCTTGTACCTCTGTATTGATGTTTTGCTGTTTTGATAGTTTACCTGAGGTTGTAGTTTGCTTGTTTTTGTTCCTCAGCATTTCTGGATTTATAGGCGGAGGTTCACACTAATAGGGCTGTTCGAACTTCGCCATTAATCTATGGTTTTGGGTTAGGGACAGATTTTTAGACAGTTTAGATATGGACAGTTTTTGTTGGGACCGTGTCTTCTATACACTTTCTGATGAAGCATGTAACGGTGTCTTGAGTAAACTTTAGGTCGTACTCACACTAGGTACAGTTGCCTCGAACTGGGCCAAACCGCACTTGTCCCCCCTCCCGTCTCCCCCGACAGCCTGCACTCACACCACAAATGGGCCTCGGCACGCTTACGTCATCGCTGCTGCGCTGTTCAGTGAGAAGCGCTCTCACTCACTCAGCAGCACAGTGGAGATTTCTCTAGTTATATCGTTTCAGTCGTCTGATATGCAGTGACATGCAGTCAAATATTTCACCAAACAGTCCTTAGGGATGCATTTACACGCAGTCAGATATTTCGCCGAACAGATCCGCCACTTTAGGCGCTTATAAACAATCATAAAGCCCTAGTGCTGCAGGAATGAGGAGGTTTGCTGAAGGCGCGCAACTGTCGTGCAGTGAGATGTCTGCGTCTTTAATAAATTACGGCAGTTTGCGTTCACTGAACAGTAAGAATGATTAATAAATCCATATGAAACAATCCCTTAAAGTCACGTCTCTCTTTCAGTTTCGGGTTTTGGCACGTTTTGCACTCACACTACAAACGTACCGGCCAAGTGAACCGCGCTCAGGCCCTTCTCTTCCAACCGGGCTAGGGCCAGCCAAGTGAACCGTGCTTGAGCCCGATTCAGCTAAGGGTCTTCTCAACGATCCGGGAAACTCACACTTCTCAAACGATCCAGGAAACGGGCCTGGGCACAGTACGGATGGCATAGTGTGAGTAGGCCCTTAATGTCGTCATCAGAAGCTGTCCGTAACATCTCCCAGTCCACAAGATCAAAACATTCTTGAAGTATGGAATTTGATTGGTCCGTCCAGCTTTGAAACGTCTTGAGGGTGGGTGGTTCCCGTTTCAGTTTCTGCCTGTAAGCAGGCAAGAGCAGAACAAAAGAGTCATCTGATATGCCAATCGGTGGGCGGGGGAGGGATTTGTTGGCGTCCCGGAACGGAGAATAGCAGTGGTCCAAAATACGGTCACCACGCATGTTTGTGGTGATATGGTAATAGTATTTTGGAGCGATTTTCCTGAGATTGGTTTTAGTAAAGTCCCCTGTAACAATAAACGCTGCCACTGGGTGTGTGGTTTCCTGCTCGCTTATGCTCCCATTCAGTTCTCTTAGCGCCTGCTTTGTGTTGGCTTGAGGGTGGATGTAGACAGCTGTATTTATAACAGCTGTGAACTCTCTTGGTGCCCAGTGTGGTCGGCACCGAAGCATAAGGTATTCCAGATCAGGAGAACAAAATGATCTAACTGGATGTATGTTTCTCAACCATGAGTTGTTAATAAAGAAACAAACACCTCCTTCTTTGCTTTCCCCTGTCGGTTCTTTCATTCTATCCACAGTATCTTATCCATAGTATTCTATCCATAGTATTCCCTGTCTGCTAAACAAATTTTAGAGAAACATTTTGTTGTAATTATGAATATATACAAATAAAAATAGGCCATTGTTACGACCCCCTCGTTCGAGTTGCAACATAAAAGAGCTCAGACAACAAAAAAATTATATATGCAACTTATTTATTATACACAACTAATAAAACAACAAATCAAGAAACAAACAAATGTCTAGGGGAAAATAAAGAAAATAACTAACTTTAACTACACATATAAATAATGCCAAACAAAACCATAAGATTGCCAAAATAAAGAGATGGTCTTGATGCGAAGACGGCCAGTAGCCACACTATCCTGCAGAAGCTAGCTCACTCTCGCATTTATATGCTTTGAACCAATTGGGGAGCTACCATGGCACCTTAACAGGATCTGCCACATCCAAACTGGAATACCAGGGTCGTCACACCATTTACACCTTTCAAATCTGTGTCTTATCAATGTGACCAAAATTACTTTTATGATCAATTATGTAAGAAACTCTGAAAACTGGACTGACAGCATTTCAATTTACAATGACTTCTATGTTAGGCGACTATGACACAATTTACATTGTAAAAGCTGTAGATAAATAAAGATGAATTTAATCTGCTTAAATGTGTACAGGTTAATGACTGAACAAAATATGATCTGATTTTATTTTACATTTAACATGCATCAAAATAAGTGTGTGTAGCCAATGTTTCTAGTGTCTTTTTACTTTTCAGCTTTTGATGAGAGATTTTTAGACTTAATGAAAATTAATCTGTTATTTATTTATTTCAGACCTAATTGAAGAGAATGAGAGGAAAGAGGAGGAACATCATATCAAAATTGAGGAAAAAACTCATTTACAGACTGATGGTATTTTGAAAAGGAGAGACAAGAATTGTTTCACCTGCACTCAGTGTGGAAAGATTTTGGCAAGCAAAAGCAAACTTAAGATTCACATGATAATCCACACTGGAGAGAAACCATTCATGTGCACTCAGTGTGGGAAGAGTTTCCGCCAAGCATCATCACTTAATAAACACATGAGGATCCACACTGGAGAGAAACCATTCACATGCACTCAGTGTGGAATAAGTTTTAACTGCTCATCATACCTTAAACAACACATGAGGATCCACACTGGAGAGAAACCATTTACTTGCACTCAGTGTGGGAAGAGTTTCAACCGCTCATCAAACCTTGATCACCACATGAGGATCCACACTGGAGAGAAACCATTTACTTGCACTCAGTGTGGGAAGAGTTTCAACCGCTCATCAAACCTTGATCAACACATAAGGATCCACACTGGAGAGAAACCAATAACGTGCACTCTGTGTGGGAAGAGTTTTCGCCAATCATCATCCCTTTCTAAACACATGAGGACCCACACTGGAGAGAAACCATTTACTTGCACTCAGTGTGGGAAGAGTTTCAGCCAATCATCAAACTTTAATCTACACATGAGGATCCCAACTGGAGAGAAACCATTTACGTGCACTCAGTGTGGGAAGAGTTTCCGCCAAGCATCATCACTTAATAAACACATGAGGACCCACACTGGAGAGAAACCATTTACTTGCACTCAGTGTGGGAAGAGTTTCAACCGCTCATCACACCTTAATCAACACATAAGGATCCACACTGGAGAGAAACCAATAACGTGCACTCAGTGTGGGAAGAGTTTCCGCCAATCATCAAACTTTAATCTACACATGAGGATCCACACTGGAGAGAAACCAATAACGTGCACTCAGTGTGGGAAGAGTTTTCACCAATCATCATCCCTTTATAAACACATGAGGATCCACACTGGAGAGAAACCATTCACATGCACTCAGTGTGGGAAGAGTTTCAGCCAATCATCAAACTTTAATCTACACATGAGGATCCACACTGGAGAGAAACCAATAACGTGCACTCAGTGTGGGAAGAGTTTTCGCCAATCGTCATCCCTTTATAAACACATGAGGATCCACACTGGAGAGAAACCATTCACATGCACTCAGTGTGGGAAGAGTTTCCGCCAAACATCATCACTTAATAAACACTTGAGGATCCACACTGGAGAGAAACCATTCACATGCACTCAGTGTGGAATAAGTTTTAACTGCTCATCATACCTTAAACAACACATGAGGATCCACACTGGAGAGAAACCATTTACTTGCACTCAGTGTGGGAGGAGTTTCAACCGCTCATCAAACCTTGATCACCACATGAGGATCCACACTGGAGAGAAACCATTTACTTGCACTCAGTGTGGGAAGAGTTTCAGCTGCTCATCACACCTTAAACAACACATAAGGATCCACACTGGAGAGAAACCAATAACGTGCACTCTGTGTGGGAAGAGTTTTCGCCAATCATCATCCCTTTCTAAACACATGAGGACCCACACTGGAGAGAAACCATTTACTTGCACTCAGTGTGGGAAGAGTTTCAACCGCTCATCACACCTTAATCAACACATAAGGATCCACACTGGAGAGAAACCAATAACGTGCACTCAGTGTGGGAAGAGTTTTCGCCAATCATCATCCCTTTATAAACACATGAGGATCCACACTGGAGAGAAACCATTCACTTGCTCTTAATTAAATTCAATTCAGCTTTATTTGTATACCGCTTTTACAATGTAGATTGTGTCAAAGCAGCTTCACATAAATGGTCATAATAAATTGGATCAGGGTAGTTCAGTTTTTAGTGTTTAAGTTCAGTTCAGCTCAGTTCAGTGTGGTTTAAATCATTACTGAGAGTCCAAACACTGAAGAGCAAATCCATTGATGCATAGCTCTACCGATCCTGAACCATGCAAGCCAGTGGCGACAGCGGAGAGGGAAAAAAAAAACTTTACTGATAGAAGTGAAGAAAAAAAACCTTGAGAGAAACCAGACTCAGTTGGGCACGACCATTTTCATTTCTTCGCTGGCCAAAAGTCTTGTGCAGAGCTGCAGTCTCAGCAGTGGAGGCTGGAAGATGGCCTCAGCGAAGACTCGTCTGTCCCTGGAGCATCACTGGAATCAGTCTCATGTTCTCCACTCCCCACGACCACCAGCGCAGCAGCAGCTCAGGATACGGCCTGGTCCCGGATATGGAAACCTTGGGATCATCTCGTCACTGGTCTTAGATCCAATCAGTGACTCCGCATAATCTGAGGACCTCGGGATGATTATCCCCAGGTGGAAATGAAGAAAAAAAAAGAATAATTAGCGTAGCTGCTGTTCATAGTGTATATAAGCAAGATGTAGAAACTTGTGTGGAAACCCGCTAAGTGATGCATTGAGTGTATGCTTTACTAAACAGATAGGTCTTTAATCTAGTTTTGAACTGAGAGAGTGTGTCTGAGCCTCGGATGTTATCAGGGAGGCTATTCCAGAGTTTAGCAGCCATAAATGAGAAGGCTCGACCTCCTTTACTCAACTTTGCTATTCTAGGTACTACCAGAAGCCCGGAGTTTCGAGATCTTAAAGAGCGAGTTGGATTGTAGCGAGACAGAAGATAAACAGGAGCTAGATAGGTGAGAATTAATATTTTAAATTTAATACAAAACTTAACAGGCAGCCAGTGTAAGGAGGATAAAATTGGGGTCTGTGGTCACACCGGACTTTTCTCTCCATAGACTTTCATTCATACGCACGCAAATGTGTCAGACTGGAAACGTAAGTTTGTTCGTCAAGTTTCGCAATTCACTGCCTTGCAAGGTTCAAGCTTGGTGAACTTTGACCTTGGAAATTGCATCACTTGACTATGTAAGACCCACACTGGAGAGAAACCGTTCACATGCACTCAGTGTGGGAAGAGATTCAACCGATCAGCAAACCTTAATAAACATGAAAATCCACACTGATGTGAAAGAGTATATGCACTTTGAGTGTGAGAAGACTTATTACAGCTCCAAAATTAAAACTGCACCAGACAATTAACTCTGGAGAGACCGTACAAGTGTTTTTACAAGAGGTTTAATCAGTTAACACATCTGAAAACAACAGGATTCACACTGGAGAGAAACCGTACAGATCTGATCAGTGTGTACAGAGTTTTAATCATTCGGCGCAGCTTAAGAAACACATAGAGAAAAAAGTTACACACATGACATGAATGCAGCAAAAATTTTCTCTGTGCACTGGATGTTTCATGTCTGAATAATGTTTGAAAAGGCTGAGTGACAGTATACTGTTTTCCAACACTCCTACACTGCAGTAGGTCGGGTTGTAAATGTGTTGCGCTTCTCGCGTTTACCGTAAACACCGTGGTGGTGGCTGAGAAAAGAATTGTCATAAACATCTGGCCAACAGCTCCTCTGCAGCTTAAAATCTCTTTGCAAGTGATTGTACCAGTGCAGATAAATTTGTACTCTCTCCAGTGTATTCATGTAGCTAGTGTTGTTTTAGATGATGTTCACTGTCTGACTCCCTGAATGAGAGACATCACTGGGAAGACACCGCACATCAAAGAAGGTGGAGCTCTAGGACGCTTAGTTTGCAGTATACCAGGGCCTCAAGTTTTAAAAGCCCATTCAATTGTCCTGTGTTGCAGCTTTTATTAGTGAAGTTTCTTTACTTTTAGATTCTAGATTTTTCTAGTTTACTTCATTTACTTTGAGTCGAATACAAACTTGATGAATATTTTATGATTTAGGCAGAGCGACAGGTATTAAGTTTTACAATATTTATACACTGTGATGACTCCAGATTAGAGCATGTGGTAAATTCTGATTGGATGCCTGCATTACTCATCAATGGGTATATAAAAGTTGTTGTGCTAGCTACCCCAGGACACTGTGGCTACTCGGGAGTCCACATGTCAAGACCTGCCATCTCATTGGCTCTTTAACCTTATGGTTTTGTTTTGCATTACTTTTGTCATGTAGTTAAAGTGTTGTTGTGATTTTATCCTAAGTTCTTTATCGTCATTATTATCCCTAGAAATTTGTTGGTTGCTTTGATTGTTTGTTCTATGAGTTACTTTTATAATAAATAATTTGCATTCAGGCTATTTTGTTGGCACTCTTATGGTGCGACTCTAACAAGCGGGTCATAACACTTCGCAAAATGTGGCCGGTTGTATCCAAGATCTTGTTCTTTTCAGTCATGACCATAGGTGAGAGTAGGAACCTAGAATGAGCAGTAAATTAAGAACATTGCCTTTCGTCTCAGATCCTTCACCACAACAGACAACCACATCAACTGCATTACTGCTGCCGCTGCACTGATCCATCTTTAAATCTCACATTCCATTCCTCATGGAAAACACTGATACTTAAACTCCATTTGGGGTAAGGACTCTCCTCCAAACTGGAGATGGCCACCTTTTTCCAGTCAAGCACAATGGTTTCTTAGAGGTGCTGTTTCTTTCCCTGCCATGTCACACTCAGCAGCAAACAGTCCCACTTACTGCATGCTGAAGTTCCATGTCCTATGAAGCCAAAAAGACAACGTTATCTGCAAATGGCAGAGACAGTCCTAGCCTGCACCTAAAATTCTGTCAGTAAAAATTACTGTATTTCTGAGATCAGCCTGAAAAATAACACATTCACAAAATAAAATGAATAAATGAATGGATGGATGGACATTGTAGTGGTGGAAGGGGAAGTTGGATGGCTTGTGTAGATGTTAGATGATCACACACACACACACACAAGTAATAGCTTCTAGCTTATTTTTATTACGTTCTTCAGCAGTAACAAGCTTTTCTGTTCTGTCGCTCCCACCACCGACGTTCCCCTCTAGCTCCACCCACTTCCGTTACGTCACTTGACACACAATAAGCTACGTCCCCCGCTTTTTTAGCAGGTGACAGGGCAACAAAAAGTAAAAAAATAAAATCAGGTAAATGTATATACAGATCTGGCATGAACTAACGCGCGCATGAAACAAAGTGATCTCGCATGGCCACGACATATGGCGCGTTAGCACGGAAAGATGGTCTAGCAAATAAAGACATGAACAGTAGGGGGCAGTCGTGTACTGTAACGCACTGTATTGAAGCCGGAGCATTCTTTACGCATCGTTATAACCTAGAACACTACTTCATACAGGGGCGTAGATGTAGGGTGGACGGTGGTGATGCTTAATATAAATAGTTAAGTTTTCTAATTCACCACTGAACAACAGCTGATTAAACATCTGTGTCCTTTGAAAAAAAGCAAGATGGAGCAAATTAAAAAATAAAAACGCAAAAAAAAATGTATTTAGAAACAGCTGAGAGATCCCTCTTCCCTTCCTCACAATGGTTTGGTCCACTGCCCGCATCCCAGCTCATGCAAAGACTATAGAATATCTTAAAGGGACTTTGATCACACCTACTCTATGCACACGGGTCAAGTGTGCGGCTGCCTAGTTAACCTCGAAAGCGATTCTCTTGGTTCTCAACGAGGGGTGCGGAGAGATAGGAATGGGGCACACATTGTATTAAGAGCCCCTTTTTCCTTCTGGAGAGAAAGTGCCCTTTTTTCTGTTACTTTTTAAAATAATAATATAAGCCTATGCATATGTGAGTGTGTGTTCGATATGAGGGCAGCTTTCCCTGTATATATAAGTGCTGTCTATCGATTAAAAAAAATTAACTAATTAATCGCACCTTTTAAAAAAAATTTATCGCGATTAATCAAATTTAAAATACTGAAACTTGTAATTTTGCCTATTTAAATGTAAAATTAATGTAAACGCAAGACAAAAAATTATTTAAATTCAAAATATAATTGTTTAATAGAATTTTTGTTTAACTTGTAACACAGATTTCTTCATGCAAACAACATACAATAAACCATCAAGATCCTGGCTTGACAGCCATATTTATTAAAGAAATTAAAACACAGGCATGTTAATGACATTTAAATTTCAAAACAATCAATGCCAAAAAAGAAAACATTGATTTCCATGTTGGATTCTAAGTGGACTGCAAAAAAATGCCAAAATACAGGAATTGCAGATATGGAAAATGAAAAATTATAATAATAAACTATAGGATACAAACTGTTGCACTCATTGTAAAGTTTTATTGCTGTGAGTTGAGAACATTAGTTATAGAGTAGAAACAATTTTGCTTAATCCTCCTTTACATTGCTAAGACTAGGAGTATCCCGCAAGTGCACAGAGACTCCCAAATGCCCGCAAATGAATGATAATTTCTTGCAAACTGGTCGTTAAATACATTGCACAGCCCTCTCGCCCCTACTCAGATACGTCGCTCACTCCACCCCTGACACCCCTCAACGGGCCTGACACAGACAAACACACAGACAGACACACACAACGCGCTGCAGACGTTTTGGCCCCAACGGCCTTCCATACTGGAGCGACTCCCCTCAGATTCAACACGCATGATCAAGTTCATCAAATTTGCTTAAACTAAGCCTCCTAAAGTATTACTGTATTTCACAAGGATTCTGACAAAACAACGCGAAGCATACGCTTTCGTTGCGTTTAATGAGGAAACACGCTAAACTTGGAGGGCTCATGCTGAAAGGCAGAGTAATGCCCTGTCTTTGACAGCTCACGATTTTACCAGACGTACTGAGTACATTTACGTAAGACACCAATACTCCGATTTTAATATGATTAAGATAATACTCTTATTAAAATTTTACC